CCATTCACAATTCCACACAGACTGTGCCCAATTGGATTACGATCACCCAAATGTCTATTTATCCTATCCTTTACAATTGATTCTAGATTTGTAGTTATGTCGATGCAATCCTGTCATAAAATTGAAATATTTTTAAGGCAGAGGTAGATAGATTCCTGATTACCGAGGGGCTGAAAGATTATCCAGGAATGTAGAGTTAAGCTTAAAATCAGATCAACCATTGTCTTATCGATTGACAGAGCAGGCTCAAAGGGCTGAGTGGTCTACTCTTGTTTCTTGTTCGCATGTTCATAGTTCAGTTAATCCCATATTGCAATTTCCATCAGCAGTTTACCAAACTTGGTCCAATCTTCCGGTCAGTATCAGAACTATTGCTTTTGATGCTGGACAGTCAGAAAACTGCGCACAATCTTGGGTATATGTAAAGGCATCTCACATCAAAGCAGTGCAACACTCTGAAGAACTCACTTGGCACAGGAATCCAAACAGAGACCTGCAAAGAGAATCGGTGCAGAAGATACACCTACTTGCTACAGCCTTAGCTGTTGTATGTAAGTTTAAAGGGCCAGACGTTGAACATTATGAATGAATGGAAGAACACAGCAAGCCAGGCAACATCTGGAGAAAAGGAGAAGTCAATGTTTTGGGTATTATACTTCTTCAGGACTGGAGGTGGGGGTAATGGGAGCTGCAGATGAAGAGGGATGGAGCGGGTAAGTGGAATGGTGGTGATAGGTGGACACCAGTAGTTGGTACGACCTGGTTGGTTAACAGGAGGGATGAATCCAGTTGGTAGTTGGAAGGGAGGGTCTGTAGGTGGAATGGAAGGGAGGAGGCAAGGCTGGAAAGGGAGCTGGGGGATGGGTGGGAGGGTTATTTGAAATTAGAGAGCTCAATGTGGAGTCCTCCGGGCTGTAGGCTGCCCACATGGAAGATAAGGTGCTGTTCCTCAAATGTGCATTCTGAGTTGCTGTGAAACTGGAGGAGGCCGATAAAGGACATGTTGGAGGGAGAGTTGGGGGTGTGAGTTGAAATGGGCAGTGATTGGGATTTTAGGCTGGCCATTACGGGCCAGACAAAGATGCTGGGCAAAACGGTCACCTAATCTACATTTGGTCTCACTGATGTAGAGAAGACCACATTGGGAGCACCGGATGCAGTAGACTAGGTTGGAGGAGATGAAGGTGAAGCTCTCTCTCTCACCTGGAAGGGCTGTTTAGGGCCTTGGATAGAAGTGAGGAAGGTGGTGTGTGGTCAGGTGTTTTATGGTTACAGGGGAAGATACCGGGTGTGTGGAGTGGTTGGTGGAGAGTGTGGTGCGAACTAAGGATTGGCGAACGGAACGGTCCTTGTGGAGAGGCAGAGAGGGGTAGGGAGTGGAAGACGTTCTGGGTGGTGGAGTCTAATTGGAGCTGGCGGATGTGTTTGAGGATGATACTTTGGATGCAGGCTGGTGGGGTGGAAAGTGAGGACAAGGGCACCCATCTTTATTATGCTTGGATGTTGGGGGGAGGTGGCTGTGGTTGGCCCTCAGCGCTTCATCTTTACTATGGACGTGCAATCCATACCCCACCAGGACAGCCTACAGGCCCTCAGATTTATCTTCTCCAACAGACCCATCCAGTACACCCCCCACCCCCCCACCAATACCCTCCTCTGCCTCGCCGAACTTGTCCTCACCCTCAATAACTTTTCCTCAATTCTTCACACTTTCTCCAAATCCACGGTGTTTCCATGGGCCTGCCTCTTTGTAGGTTACGTCGAACAGTACCACTCAAGTATGTACACCAGTTCTGTTGCCCAATTCTTCTGCCAATACATTGATGACTGCATCGATGCTGCATCCTGTACCCAGCCTGAACTGGAGCAGTTCATCGACTTCACTAACAACTTCCACCCCACCCTCAAATTCACTTGGTCTATCTCAGACACCTCCCTCCCCTGTCTTGACCTCTCCATTTCCATTTCTGGTGACAGTTTATGGGCTGACATTTACTATAAACCCACAGATTCCTATAGCTACCTGGACTACACGTCCTCCCACCCTCTTTCCTGAAAAAAACTCCATCCTGTTTTCCCAATTCCTCCATTTCCATCGCATCTGCTCTGACGGGGAGATGTTCCACAACCAAGCATCCCGGATGTCCTCCTTTTTCAAACAACGTTCTTTTCCCCTCTCTATCATCCCAACAGCCCTCCACTGTGCCTTGTCCATTCCCACTCCACAGCTCTACACCACCCACACCCCTCCCTCCAAACATAATAAAGATAAGGTCCCTCTTGTCCTCACTTTCTACCTCACCAGCCTCCGTATCCAATGTGTCGCAGTGATTCAGAATGCGAATTTGAGGACTAACACCTTATCTTCCATCTGTGTACCCTACACCCTAGAGGACTCAACATTGAGTTCTCTAATTTCAAATAACTTTCCCACCCATCCCCTGGCTCTCTTTCCAGCCCTGCCTCCTCCCTTCCATTCCACCTTCTGACCATCCCTTCCAGCCACCAACTGGATTCATCCCTCCTATCAGCCAACCAGATCATACTTACTACCGGTGTCTACCTATCACCACCATTCCACTCCCCCCTTCCCCCACCTCTTTATTTGCAGCTCCCCCTACCCCCACATCTAGTCCTGAAGAAGTGTAATACCTGAAACTTGGACTTCTCCTTTCCTCCAGATGCTGCCTGGCTTGCCGTGTTTTCCAGCTTCCTGTTTGTCTACCTTGGATTCCAATGAATGAATGGATGAATAGATGAGTGGGTAATTGAGTGAATACGTAGTTTAGTCAGATGCTTAAAGTAACTGGGATTGTAAGTGGATGAGGTGCGTAAGGCAAGTAGGGTGGTAGGTGGGTGAGATGTGTGTGTTGGGGTACTCAGATCAAGTCAAAGTGGTTGTTGGGTGGTCAGGGGGTGTAGTCAGTTTTCATCAAGGAGTAGTTGGTTGTCAGGTCAGGGGAGGTAGTCAAGGTGTAGCTGGCTCACATGTGCAAATGGTCTGACCAGGTTAGAGGGTGAGTGATCAGACAATGTCTGGGAGGTAGCCAGGTTGTTGGGGTGATGTGTCACTTCTGGAGTTAACTAAGGGTTACACTGGATTTAATCTGTGTAGCACTTCGTGGGTAACTATTAGGTACATACTACCAAATTATACAAAGTCTTCGATTCTTGCATCAGAGGGATTTGTGGGAAGCCCCACTGATTTTGTTTTCTGTTCATTCATGGAATTTGGCTTCTCTGGCTGGACCAACATTTATTGCCCATCCCCTATTGCCATCCCTGGACAAGATGGTGGTGAGATGCCTCCTTCCCTGCTGCCACTCCTTGAGGTGTAGGGAAAATGCTGATAGTGAAGGAGCTCCAGGATTTTGACTCAGTGACTGTGAAGGAAATACAATATAATTCTAAGTCAGAATGCTATGGGATCAAAAGAGTACTTGCAGGTCATTACTTTCCCATGCAATTGCTGCCCTGTCCTTCTATGTGGTAGAGTTTGACAGTATGGAAGGTGCTGTTGAAGTAGCCTTGGTGAGTTACTGTAGTCCATCTTGTAGATGCTGTGGAACCAAGCAGCTGACAGGGAGGCAACCAATAATGAACCAAAGGAAACAGCTGCTAGATAGTGTCAGTGGTGGTGGGAGTGAATTACTAAAAGTTAACATAGTCAAGACCAATTTTTTATGCTCAAAACAATAGGCTTAAATATTAATAACATAATCTCTTCCCTTTTAATTTCTCATAAATATCTATTCAAACAAAAGTTCAAATTTCCTGAGCACTCAAGGAGATTACTCTAATGTTTTCATTTAATTTGGGCTAACGTGTCAAAAATTCTTGCGGAACAATGGGTAGCATTCCTTCCCTGGGCCGAGAGCCTATGGGTTCAAGTCCAGTGTTAGGGCTTGTTGGATATGGAACACGGTCAAACAGATCTATTGTCAGCCTGTAGTTCCTTCCAACCTACCTGACTGCGCAAGTATGGACCAAACCAATGGATGTCCATGACCCAGGCATCGGGAAAAGTGAAGACAGGAGAGAAGTCAGACGCTCCATTTAGGTCACTCGATTTTTTGTACAATATAGCCACACATAATTTCTTTAGCTGCTTGAATGATGACATTTACCTTTTATCTAAACACAGCCTCTTATTGACGTTCAAAACTTGATTCAAAATACAGAACTCTGAAGTTTGGATGGCAAGGTCACTGATATATTCAGACATTTTACTCCCTCTAAGAAATTATTTTCTATGATTGAACTTTAAAACTCTCCAATCTCATCTGTCCCAGTAGAAAAAAAATGTTTCCAATGTCTCCATCACCTGTGAAACGGTTAGTTTGAGATATGACATTTTTATGTTATAATTAATGATTGGCATTTTAATAGGAAAATGTTGTTGATTATTGAGGTGGGAGAGAAACCAGTATAAAGATCGTGATTAATCCACAACTAACTTGGGATAAGTGCAGACCCATTCATTATGCTGCAGACAGCACATACATCATTGCTGCATGCAACCAGAGTAACTACTGGAGGAGGTGTGTAATAATACAAGTGACCAGCATGACTTAAAGGCATCCTGCACCATTTAATGAGGACACGCATCGTGGTAACTGGATGTGGTGGGAATCATTTGAAAACTGAATGCATGCTGCAATGAGTAATAGATAAACATATGAGAGATTGTGTGCACCAAGTGCTCAGCTACACTGGAGACATTGATGAAAGTGGCAAAAAAGAAAGTGTTTTCGAACAGTGAATAGTTTAGGTATGGAATGCGCTGCCTGGAAGTATGGTGGAGGCAGGTTCAACTGAATCGCTCAAGATGGCATTGATGATTATTGGGATAGGAATAGTGTGCAAGTGTGTGGGGGTAAACCAGGACATTGGCAATAGGTAATGATGCTCATTTGAACAGTTGGTGCAGGAACGAAGAGCCGTTTGGCCCCTTCTGTGCCATAATAATTCTGTGATTCTGAAATGTCCTGTATCCATAGGCAGTGGGGGTGAAGGTACAGGATACCTTCAAGTCCATACTCGGGATGCAGAGGAAGCAAGTAGCAGCAGAGGTAAGTGCCAGTGGTAGTACTCCTCAAACCTAGAGGAAGCGCAAGAAGAACTTTTCATAATCCCATATGAATTTTCAAAATGAATGAAATTGATTTTCAAAAGCCATATCCTACCAAGTATGCAACCAGCCTCACTCACTGTTCAAATCATTACAGTCACCTATCAGCAATCCCAACTCTTCGACTTATCTGCTTTACTGCACCCTCACACATTTAGCACAGCTGTAAGCCTTGCATTCAAACCTTGCATCTCACACACACATTCATGGCAGACAGATACTTTAAAGTATTAGACATTCACATCACAGGAGCAGGCCAATCAGCTCAGCTTATCTTTTGTTGGGCAATCCCATCATACCATTCTCTCACTGCAGCCCAGTCTCTCTTTAACTGCTTCAAATATCACTCCAATTCTTCCTTAAGAAATAAAATGTGAGTGACATTGATTTTTTTTATTTGGCAATGCAAAACAGATGATGGAATTATGAAATGAAAATATAAAACGCAACCACATTAGAATCATTATATTACTGTATAGAGTAGTTGTAGAACATGCAATTCTGTTTCCATGTAAATTATTTCACATCTGACATTCTAATACTGCACAACAAAGGGCCCAAAATAGTGCTACATATAATTTAGTTCACTGGCCTTCTCCCTCACACACCAAGTTTTGAAATCACTTATGCTATCTATAAACTTCCTGATGGAACTAGGTTCACTGTACTTGTCGGTGCTGAATCTAACTCATACCAACTATCATCACGTTTTCTTAACAATACTGCAGGATGTCCAAAGAGACTATTGTTTTCAGGATAATTGGATCAATTTTGGGTTGAGGATCTTTTTATGGGTCATTTGTCTGCATTAGTTTTTTTTTTATTTGCTGAATGAGAATGCAACAGGTTTAAAAGATCCTGTTTTGAACAGATACTTTAGAAGCAGGAATCCAAATCCAAACCCATGTGACTGTGTCTGCTAATGTACATGAAAAAGTGAGCACCGATAAAAAGACAACAAATGTTGGGACAAACACACAGATCGGAAAACATCACCTTACACAGGTCCCACCAACTATGAAACAGAAAAGACGATTATTCAGAACAGAAGAGGTATGTTTGTAATGAATAATGATGTTACAAGCTTAGTAACATAATATAACATTATTAACACAGAATTAATGCAATGGCAACTAACTGCATTTACATTTTTAAGTCAGTTTCAGGTCTAAATAAATTTTTGATATTTTTTGACCAATTGTTGGCAGTTTTAGGGTGATTTTTCACAAAGATACACAGGAAGGTCCAAATATGTTTTTTTTTAATCTCCCAATATGTTCAAGCAATGTCTTATTTTGATGTTCATGGTGTATGTCCTGAAATCCTAGTTTTCCTCTGAATCAACTCTGGAGTTCTCTCTCCGGAGAAACTGAAGCTTTACTCTTGGCAGTTAAATTCGGAATTTCCTCTGGGAATCTCCTTTCTAAAATCTGTGTATTAGCTAAGATTCTGGGAGTAAAACACCACTGATGCTTTCACTTTTAGGTTGTACCCTCTTGCATGAATGCTTTTTGCTGGGCACTGTTGCTACGATCACTTTCTTCCTGGACTTAAGGAAATATATTTTAAAATTACTTTTTCTTAGTCCAGTTGATTGAAAATAGAGATTTGATTTGTGCCATTGTACATACTTCATGGTGGAGTCATGCGGTTCAAATTACATATCTCCTATCCAGGAATGAGTCTGATTGATATATGAAAGCAATAGTGACCCTTTTTTAACATTGCATGCAATATGGCATGCAGCACGATAAATGCAAGAAATTGTACAATAATATCTTCTCCCTGCTCCCTTTCCATTGCCAATGCTGACCCCCAGTCAAGAGTTGCTATGCTTGCTTGTAGAGATATCGCACACCGACTAAATGTACGCCAGTTCTGCTTTCTCCTCCCATTCCCAAACTGGATAGTCAAATGAATGCAAGGATTCCAACATCTTTTCTTTTGCCATACTTTGTAAAGCAAAGCAAATTCCAATAGTGAATTCCTGGTGCTTTGCTAACTACAGCTGGATAAAATTTCCTCACACGCCACATAAAAATATGTTGGTTAATGACCATGATTAAATGTTTATTAAGGAGATTTGCACAAATGAATGGGGTATCTTATGTAAATTTGCTGTATGATAGTAGTTGTCAATGGAAGTGGAATATGCCTTTTAAGTGTTGACTAAACATAAACAAATTTCCAAAAGTTAAGCTGTGAATAAGAAATTCTAGGGAAAAGCAATTAAAGGAATTATGTTTGCAAATCTTCATTCATCCTGCATGGTGTAACATGCCAGAAATGCTTCATCTGGCAACCTACACAGAATGGAAGAATAGACTTCAGAGTGTTAGCTTTCAGCAAATTAACTTTGGTCTGATCATTTCGAAGTAACAGACTAAAATCTACCAGTCAGACTGATCAAGCAAGGATGTTAACTACTCTCAAAACGTTAACGAAGAGTCATACTGGACTCAAAACATTAACTTCGTTTCTGTCTCCACAGATGCTTCCAGACTTGCTGAGTTTTACCAGCATTTTCTTTGTTTCAGATTTTCAGCAGCTGCAGTGTTGTACTTTTTGTTTCTTACACATAGACCTACATTTGTGACACCGTTCTTGGACATATATTTAGAAGTCAATGTTGAAGAAATATGATAGTAGGATTTAGGATTAGAAAGCATTTCTAAACCTATTTAAACACACGCACTTCACTCACTTCACACTAGCACTAACAGGGCAAATAAAAACTGGGTGCTTCACAGCTGACATTTTAGGAATGAAAATTTGCTCTGAACTATGTGTTGAGAAGGATGAAAAGTATTTCATGATGTTTTAATGGGAGATGGATATTTAGTTTGAAATATGAACATTAAGGAAAATGAATGATTAAATAAGGAATATACAATGGCAGTAAATCTTATCCACTTAAGCTTTTTCAGCTTCCAAGCACTGATTTTGTTTATATGCCATTCATCATTCTCATTTCAATGTCTCTTATTCAGCACCCAAACTTTTGGAAATTTGCTTATGTTTGCTCTATTCTTGAGAGAAATAGACATTTACAGTTTTGACTGTGCTGTCCTTGTTTGAGTACCTGCTGGTTTTATGACTTACTGTGAACACCCGAATTATGCATTGTTTTGAAGATTACATACCAATCAGAGGCAATATACCAGTATATATTGGCATAACCTTTCCCACATCTTTAGTTCATTCCCAATCACAGGATTTAGGGATTTGTCACTATAATCAGATTAGAGAGACAGAGATGTATGAAAGGAAAGCAAGATGACTGCCCCAACATCTATTCCTGTTAGAACATATAAGATGATGATATCACTGTGTGGTGATTCCTATGTGAGTTACCTTCTGCCAGATTCCCATTCACAGTCTGTCAAAACATCAACATGCAAAACCAGAGAGAATGTTACACAGATTCTATAACAAAATTGTTAATGTTTGCACACTTATTTCAGTGATTATTAACTTTGCTATAAATAATAATGCCAATTATTTCCAGATAATTGTTATTTAATAATCAGTATTAAAGGATGTGCACAACCTCTGGAGTTCTTAACAGGGGGTCAATTGATTGACGTTTGAAGTTCTTGACTCATTACGGCAGAACATCTGATGGGAACCAAAAGAAAAATTCATAACAGTAACAACATTTAGTAAGCAATATGAAGGTGAATTTCCTCAAAGGCTATCCAATGAGGAGATCATTGTGGAAATCTATCTAATCTCACAGGGTATTAAAACAAGTGAAAAGATCAGTGATGGGCCCTTTACTATTCACATTACACATTAATGATTTCGAAATGGGAATGGAGACAGAACTGTCTTCAAGCAATCCTTTATTGGTTTAAACCAGTGGCCCCGAGTCCTGCTCCCACAGTTTCATTTGAAGTAGTAGGTGGGATTTTCCCATTCCTCGAAGTGGTGGGTCAGATGGTTGGAAGTGTAAAGAATCAGGCAGGTTGGCACTGGAGAGATACTCGCCCCCTTCCTGCCACCTCAGCAATCAAATTCCATGGAAGACCTTCTCAACCTACCACCAATTAAAGCCCTGACGTAGTCAATTGATAGCCACATAAGGGCATCCTGACAGGGAGACCAGGGCATCCTGTCTGCTGGATTGTTGGTGAGGTTGGGCCTCCATTTGTCCCAATTTTCATGCTTTATGTTAAAAGCGATCAGTTGTTAATTTGGCTCAATTCATGCCTAAGGAATAAAATCATGTGCAAGTTTTGCCTGTGGATTTGAGTAAATAATTTAGTCTGTTTTTTTTGCAATAAATCTAATCATTGTTTATAACACCAGAGTGTAGTGATTGGAAGGTCAGCTGGATCACATTGACAATGAGATCCTTGTTTGGAGTTGTTAACCTGGGCCAATCAGAGAGCCCGGGCTGACAGATATAAACATGAGATTCAGAGAATCTCGTCATTCTAGGGTTTGGGTCTGAAATGGCTTATCAGAACCCATATACTGTGCACATGTAAATAAAGGGTGATTTGGTGATGAGACACATGCCTCTGTGCAGTTATATCACAAAAATAAACAATTAGTATGGTCATCATGGTTAACCAACTTGAGCAGATGAGAATCAGTTTAAACTGTGCGCTTGTAGATCTTATCTTCGATCATAGCAAAAGTTCTGAATTACAGTGAAACTCAGAAAGACCAAAGGTCTGAAGCAAAGGTTGCTGAAATACATTGGAGTCAAAAGGTAACATTAAATCTGAGCAAGAATTAGACAAAGTGATAGTTAATGATGAGGATACTTGCTTGCTAACATGGGATAATTGAGGTATATGAGCAAATCAGTTAGGAAAATTGATTACCCTCTAGAATTGTATTGTCAAGGAAACAAAAACAGAAATTGCTAGAGAAACTTAGCAAGTCTGGCAGCATCTGTGAAGAGAAAACAGAATTATGATTTTTGTGGTTGGTTTGACTACTTTGGAACATATGTTGTGAAGGGCTGGGACAGGCAATTGCTTGTACTTCCTGGGAAATTCTTTACATTTAAGATTTCTAGATATGGCTATAGTAGTGTACTTTACTGTGTGTAGTCTAAACCTGAATGTTTTAACACAGAAACAAATGTAATTCCCAGACATATTACTGATTCTTACATCCTTGAATGTGCTAGCAAAAGGAATAATTATTTTTCAATAGAGTAGCAAGGCTGGGTAATTTTCAGATGTGACAGTTTTGTGTACATGATCATTCAAAAACAGTAATGCTCTTCAATATTACTTGCTCATCCAAACTTGAGTTTCCATGAATTTTATCGGTCTACTATCAGCTTTTGTGCCTTCAGCTGCCTGGGTCCTCGCCTCTGAAATTCCCTGTTTAGACTTTGCCTCTTTTTCAGTCACTCGCCTCCTTCAAGATGTTCCTTAAAGCCTACCTACTGTGGGTGATAGTAAGACAGGTAACGTGGGCCACTGAATTATAGAAGAGAATCCTAGAATCCCTACAGTGTGGAAACACACCATTTGTACCATCGAGTCCACACCAACCCTCCGGACAGCATCTCACGTAGACCCACACCGCACCGCCCCCCACCCCCCATCCCTGTAACCCTGCATTTCCCATGGCTAATCCACCTCGCCTGCACATCTTTGGACGATGGGAGGAAACGAGAGCACCCAAAGGAAACCCATGCAGACATGGGGAGAATGTGCAAATTCCGCACAGACAGTTGCCCAAGGATGGAATCAAACCCAGGTCCCTGGTGAGGCAGCAGTGCTAACCACTAAGCCACCATGCTGCCCCCCACAAACTGCTTCTCATTTGGTAATTTCCCCCATGGGTTCAACCTTCTTGCCAGCTGGTCCTACTTTCTGGGTGCCCAGTGTTGTGCCAGCAGTCAATAGGTTGTAGTCAGAAGCTCATGAAGAGTAATAAGGTCCTCAAAATGGCTGGGATATTCCACTGGTAGGATGGTATTGCAACCACCCCTCACTTCTTCCATTTCTGTTCTTAAGTGTTGGTTTTGAAGCTGTAACAATTTTGCAGACACGTCATCTTCTAGTCAACTGTTCTCAGATATCCAATCTTCCACCATGAACTTTAACTGCATACATGTCAAACCCATAATAGGATCAGACAGGTGCTTAACTGGTCGATACTTGGCAATCATTTTGCTGTACATCTTCAGTTCTTTATTGTAATATGATGTCTCGAATCGTTTTTAAATTTAACAACATGTTTCTGCTCACTTAGAAAAAAAAATGGGACTCCAACAAGATGCCAGCAAAAGAAGTCAACATTCATGTCACAAAGAGTATCTGTTCGGTTGAGTCAGATGAAGGAAAAATGGAGAACTGTACGAAGTAAAGGAAATTAACCCAGGAGCTTACGGGGCAAGGAGATCAATACTGTGCATTTTACAACAGATCCATTGCCCCAAAAAAAAGACTTACAATCATGAAATGCTGAAAAATACTACTAAGTTGAGTGGAAAATAATTATTTCTTTGTGCCTTGAGAACCAACATTTGAAGATTTGTGGAAAATTTGATCATGCAGATCTTCTTAAAATATTTTTCAGAAAGCAAATGTAATCAATGTACCAAAATGTATCAATGATTTTAGCTGAAATTCTAAGCATACACAAGATCTAAGTAACTTGAATTATGCATGTTGGTTTTTCTGACAAATCTGTTGGTCTTTTCTGCAGATGGAACCAAATGGACAATTGTACATTAATTAAAAGATCTCTTCAGTTCTCATTGAGCTACATAAGCTGGTTTCAAACCTCTTTAAAAAAGCTTTTGATCATCTCTCAAGGTTTCTGTCCTGTCCAAGTTTTTGTCATTAAAGTTTGATAGATGAAATGTATTCTAAGTGGGTTCCCTCAGTATTGTTTTAAATTGCCTGAGAAATTCATAATAGATTTACTCTTCATTTCCATTCCCTCTTCCCCTGTGCAATGTTCTATCTGTTAATATTACAAAATTTATTTTATGGTAAATTACCCATCTGTTATTTTCCTCTCGTTCATCTTAGCAGTTACCATTTACAGCAACTGAGTGGGATTAAAGAGTCTTGTTTTGGCCAGTATTATTGCTGCAGAATAAGGTACAGGATTAATTCTAACTCTCCAAATCAAAGCATTTTGCTGTGACCCATTATTCTAGAAGATGGCACATTTGAGGGGATGGGTGTCTAGTGATGCAATAGGTAATGCTCTGCCTCTGAGCTAGACATTCTGAGTTCAAGTCCCATTCCAGGATTTGAAGGCCAAGGAAGGTGTGTTCGTAACACAAGTAAGCATGATGGTTATCATGAGTACCAACTCGTAAATTCTTCCCACATTGGCCAATGGCAAGAAGTAAAAGCAGGAGATATTCCCAGTCAGCAACCTGGTAGAAAGAAAATTGGAGCCTTGATCATCACTAGCCATAGCATTGAGATGTACTTGCAATGCTAAGGCATAGGAGACTAAGGGCTGAAAAATGGGTTTAGAATAATTAGATGGTTGCTTTTGCCCAGCATGGACACGATGGGCTGAAAAGCCTTTCTCTGCATTGTAAACCTCTATGAATCTATGACTCTAAGCCCATTTGAGATGCATGACTAAGCCGTCATATAACAGGATAGGCAATTGAAAATTGGACTGAAGTAGGTTTATCTTCCTTCAGGTATTTCATACATGCATGCAATCACAAAATTTACAGTATAAGAGGCAGTCATTTGACCCATCATGTCTGTACGTATCCCAGCAGAGCTACCTATTTTGAACCATTCTCCAACCCTACCTCCAATAGCCCTCTAAATTCATTACTTTCAAATAAATATCTAGCTCTCTTTTGAAACCTCTTATGGAACACAGCTCCATCACTCTCCCAGGAAACGCGTTCCAAATCCTACCAACTCCCTGAGTAAAGATGTTTCTCCTCATCCTCCCCCCTAGCAGTGGAGGCAATGGCCTAGCAGTATTATCACTAATCCAGAGATCTAGGTAATGTTCTGGGGACCTGGATTTGAATCCTGCCACAGCAGCTGGTGGAATTTGAATTCAATAAATATCTGGAATTAAGAGTCTAATGATGACCGTGAATCCATTGCCAATTGTTGGGAAAAACCCCTCTGGTTCACTAATTTCCTTTAGGGAAGGAAACGGCCATCCTTATCTGGTCAGGCCTACGTGTGACTCTAGACCCACAGCAATGTGGTTGACTCATAACTGCTAATTAGTGATGGGCAATAAATGCTGGCCTAGCCAGCGATGGCCTCATCCCACGAATGAATTAAAAAGCATTCTTGCTGACAATCTTGAAATTGTGATCCCTAGTTATTGACACACTCATTAGTGAAAACAGAATATCTTTCTTTACTCTGTCAAAATGTTCATAATATTGAACACTTCATTAAGGTCACCTCTTCATCTTATCTGCTCCAAGGAGAATAAGCCCAATTTCTCTAATATTTCTAACATATTGTATCTAAAATCCCTCATTCCTGGTACCATTCTTGTAAATCTCCTTTGCACTCTCTAGGGGACTTTAACACTCTTCCTTAAATAAGCTGCTCAGGACTGACCACAAAACTCCAAATGTAATCTGACCAATGATTTATAGAGACGTATCATTACTTCTATGCTTTTATACTCAATGCCTCTATTTATAAATCCAAGGATCTTATAAGCCATTTTAATAACTGTTTCAATTCGCCTGGCCACCTTCAGAGAATTATGAATCTGAACGCTAAAGTCTTTCCGTTCCTGTACTCCCTTCAAAGTTGTACCATTGAACCTGTATTGTCTCACTGTGTTTCTTCTACGAAAATGCATTACCTCACATTTCTCTGCATTGAAATTCATCTGCCAGGTGTCTGCCCATTGGCTAACTTATCAATATCCCTCTGCCCATTTGGCTAACCTGTCAATGTCCCTCTGAAGTCACTCAGTGTCATCCTCACAATGCACTATTCTCCCTAGCTTAATATTATCTGCAAATTTAGAGGTTTGTTCTCAACCCAGGTTCAAATCATTTACATAAATCAGAAAAAGAAAGGGTCCCAAAGCCAATCCCTGTGGAGCATCACTTTCAACTCATCTCCAATCTGAGAAATATCGATCTGTACCTATCTTCTGTTTCCTATCTTCAAGCCGTTTTCTAAGCCATGCTGTCAAAGGCACATCAATCCCAAACATTTCTTATTTGCTAATCAACCTGCCACATGGCACTCTATCAAATGCTTTCTAAAAGTCCAAGTATAGAACATCCACTGCACTACCCTCATCCATTGCCTATGTCACCTTATCAAAGAACTCAATTTATCAGACATGACCTGCCTTGACAAAGCCATATTGACTGTCAAGTATTAGCTTACCTTTTCCTAAGTGCATATTTACATTATGCTGTATTATGGCCTCCATCAGTGTTCCCACTATTGATTTCAAGATGATAGGTCTGTAGTTTCCTGAGTTACCCTTTGTCCCGTTTTTAAACAAAAGTGTCACATTCACAATTTTTCAGTCTCCCAGAACTGATCCTGTGTTCAGAGATGCCTGGAAAGTTTCTGTCAATTGATCTGCAATTTGATCTTTTACCTCTTACAGTAATCTAGGATGCATCCCATCTGGACCTAGTGACTTCTCTACCTGAAATGCTGTCAGCCTTTTTAACACCTCTTCTTTAACTATCACAATACTACTGAGTTGCTCAATACCCACATTTTCAACTAGACCATTGTCACCATCTCCTAATTTGGTAAACACAGAAGCAAAGTACTCATTTAATACTTCTGTCATACTCTTTGCCTCAGTGAGCAGTGTCCCTTGTTTGGTCCTTCTTGGACCCATTCTATCCTTCACTAATCTTTTACTAATAATAAGTTTGAAGAACATGTTACTACTTAGTTTAGTGTGGCCTGCCATCCTTTTCTCCTGCTTCCTCTTAGCCTTCTTTATTCCACTTTCACCTTACTGCTGCATTTGAGACAGTCCTTCTGATTTCTATAGCTGTTATTATTCTGGTATGTATCATATGTCTCCTTTTTCTTCTGTATTTTCTCATTTATATCCTGAGTCATCCAGGTACTCTTTTAGGTACTCATTCAGGTACTGTTTTATTCACCAGAATGCATTTCCAATCAATCTGCCCCAGTTCAACTTGTAAATGCCTGAAATCTGACCTTGTCCTGTCTGGAATCTTAATCATTGATTGATGTTTATCCATTATGCTTGTGTGAACAAAAGAAAATGTACTGACTTTATTCCTTAGCAACCAATGAAAGGTTATCCACTGACTTTTTGATTGAAGTATGGGGAGAGGGTACAAATTGAAATCACAACTGCTTTAATTTGAGTTATGAATGTAAAAAAATTATTGTTCTATATTTTCACTGTCTTTGACTTTGTGCTTTTAGTGACAAAATAAGTATTATGATACAGGGTAAATTTCAATCCCTTTATTCAATCATTAAATGTCTATTGCGTGTCTACTGCAATCCTAGCAAATTCATACCAGCATTTTGTTTCATATATTTTGTATGTTGGACTTAATTATACACAAGAACCAAGTTGTGTTCATGCCTCATGGCTATTCTTGCAGATCTACATTGGTTCCTGGATCCAAAAACCTTGGTTCTAATTTATCCAGTCATAGAGATATACAGTGCGGAACCAGGCCCTTTGGTCCAATGTGCCCATGCCAACCAGATATCCTGTACAAATCTATTCCTATTTGCCAGCATTTTATCCACATGCCTATAAACGCTTCCTATTCATGTACCCATCCAGATGCCTTTTAAAATTTGTAATTGTACCAGCCTCCACCACTTCCTCTGGCAACTCATTCCATTCACACACCACACTTTGCGTGAAAAAGTTGCCCCTTAGGTGCCTTTTAAATCTCTCCCCTCTCACCTTAAATGTATGCCCTCTAGTTTTGTACTCCCCCACCCAGAGAAAAGACCTTACCTATTTACCCTTTCCATGCCCTCATAATTTTATAAAACTGTATAAGGTCACCCCTCAGCCTCCAATGCTCCAGGGAAAATAGCCCCAGCCTATTCAGCCTCTCCCTATATCTTAAATCTTCCAACCCTGGTAAACATCCTCATAAATCTTTTCTGAACCCTTTCTAGTCTCACATCAATCATATTGGGCCAAATCTACTGGGTCCACTTGGAATTTTAGAAGGACAGAGAGGAACTTAAGTGGGCGAAAGGCAAAGAATTCCAGTACTCACTGACAGACTCTCCAAAATTGTGATTATTTATTGTGTCCTGGACAACCAAGCTCAATAACAGGATAAGAACTTAGAGGGGGAGGTGGACCAACCACCCTGTCTCCTCAGATGAGGAAGAACGGGAGTCTAATGGAGATGTTGATGGAGATGTTGGTGAAGCTGATGATATTGCTCCTGAGGAAGCTTTGGCAGCAGTGAGATGTGGCTGACAGGCTTGAGAGAACCTCATAGCAACTAGATTTGAGACCAAATGACTTTGAACAAACTTTTGTGGGCACTCAGAGCTAGGAGGTAACTGTACCTGTGAGGTGTTCCTAGCTGAAGGGAATGTTTGTTTTCTGATATTTAGACTTCGTGTTCCTCTGGTTAGTATTAAATGAAAGTTATTCTATTAACTTTACTCATGCTCAGTTTTCAGACTGGAGTATCTGGATGGAGTTATGCTTGAAAAAAATAGAGGCTGTATTCCTCAAACATCAGTGAACAAGGCCATTCATCTATTACAGAGATGTAGAGGCCTACATAATGCTAAGTGACTTTCCAAACCCATACATCTAGCTTAAGGTTATACTTCCCCGAGGTCATGTTCCTCTC